TATTGGCACGCATGTCAATCTTGAAAATAGCATCGATATATCACAGCACGCTAACTTAAATCATACTTGGTCTAGTTATTATACACACTAAGGAAGGGATGTTACACTTAATAGAGACGATGGATTTACTCTGTGAACAGTTCTCACATCGTGCGAATAGTTTCTTTCAGTGTAATAACGTTTCTAGTCCCAAATTCAACTGAGTTCACCTTAGCCCTGGCAAGATACTGCAGCCGGTGAATTCGCACATGGAAGGAGCCTAAGAATAGAAAGTAGTAGAGATGTGGCGCAACGAGGGTTACAGAGTGTTGCCTGAGACGTGAATTTATTGAGATAATTTACACTGAAGGTAATTTACTGCTGGAATTTTTAGTGAGATTTACCGTGAAGATTATTGAAAATTTGCTGTCGAATTTTCTTAAATAATTTGCTGTAGGATTCTTACTAGGTATTTACTGAGTAACTTAATTGCGAGAATTACTGGAATAAGTTTTACTTGAGGAATTTGCTGTTGGGAATTTAATTAGTTAGTCCTTACTGAGAAATTACTATAAGTAATGTACTTAGAATTTACTAGGAATTCAGTGAGAATGCTTTAAGTAATTTTACTTTCCATTAATTTGGCTCTCAGCAATTTTCTGAAGAAGTTTACTGAGTATTTACTGGGAATTTAAACTGAGTGATTTACTCCGGAAGTTTTCTGGAGTAATTACTTACCAATTTACTGCGGGTAATGGTTACTGAGTAATTTATTGAGAATTCAATGCAGTAATTTACTTGAGATTTTATGAGTTAATTTACTGTGAATTATTGAAAAATTTACTTAGAATTTTCCGTAAATAACTTTACTGTGAAATTTTACTAAGATATTGTTACTATAATAATTGAGAATTTGACTGAAATAACTCACTGAGAATTTTCTTGGGAATTTAATTAGTATTTACTGAGAATTTACCCTTAAGGTAATTTGCTGTGAGGAACTTTGACTAGGAATTTATTGATAAATTTTCTAAGTAATTTGCTTTATAATTTTCTGGGAATTTGCGAAAGTATTTAATGTTATATTTACGGAGTAATATCGGGTAATTTACTGGGAATTTTACTGACGTTGATTTACTCGGAATATTACTGAGTAATTTACTAGCCCAATTTACTGGGTAAATGTTCTGAGTAATATACTGAGAATTCAATAAGTAATTTACTTGAATTTTATTGAGTAATTTACCGTGAATTATGAACAAATTTACTATCGAATTTTCTAAATAATTTATCGGGATTTTACTGAGGAATTTTACTGTAATAATTATATTGAGAATGTCTTGGGTATGTTAATTAGTAATTACTAAAATTACTGTAATTTTTATGAGAATTTTCTAAGTAATTTACTTTATAATTTACTGAGAATTTTTGGGGATTTACGTAAGTAATTTGATTTGATGTTTATCTGAAGTAAATTTAATTAAGACATTACTGAGTAATTTAATGAGAATGTATTGAGTAGATTTACCAAGTAATTTACTGGGAATTTCTGAAGTCATTTAACTCTGAATTTCTGAGGAATTTACTGGGTTATGTTCTGAGTTAATTTACTGAGGAAGTTCAATGAGTAATTTACATTGAAATTATGCGAAAATTTCCCTTCAAATTTTTCAAATTATTTACTAAGTTTTACAAGGAATTTACTGCGTAATTAATGAGAAGTTTTCAAAATAATTTATTGAGAGTATGTGT